AAAAAAAAAAAAAAAAAAGAGAGGAAGAAAGAAAATGAAGCTATCAAGACTGTAGAAATTAGATTTTTACAGAGTTGTGAGAACTCAACGTGAAGGCTTGTTTCATTTGGAAAATCATTTGAGGAGCTATTGATTTTTTTGTAATGTTAACAAAAATAACTTTTACTTCTGATTCAATGAATAGTTCAGTATTCATTAACCACAGGCATTAATTGTTTAAATTGAATAATCCCAGCATTGTAGAAACAGAAAATCTGACAAACTGGCATCAGTGGTACAGATTCATTTCGTGTAGCTTTTTATGACTTAACAAGATGTTTATATGTTTGATATATAATAAGAGTTTCCAAACATCAAAAGATATACTGTGGCTCTGGGATCTGTACAATTATAGGTAGAATTATGTTGTTTTGATTTTAATAATCAGAGGGATTGCCTGACTATAAGTGCCTTTGAAAAATTCAGAAAAGTACAAAGAAAAAGTAAGTCACTTTAGGAATAATCCCTTGTTAGTGAACAATGAATGTATTTTCTTTCAGTCTTTTTTCCTGTATATTTACAAATTTATTTGTATAAAGCAGAAATTATGTTGTATCTCATAACTTTACAACCTGCTTTTTTCACTTGATATGTCTCATGAGGACTTTCCTCCTTGCCGTGAAACAAGCTTAAGTTTTCATTTGTAAAAGCTATATAATATTCTATTGTAAATTTTTATTTCTTTGCAATTCTGTGATGGTAGAATATTTGGGTTGTTCCTAACTTCTTGCTATTACAAATACTGATAGCGGTGATCATCTTTGCAAGTGACTATCTTTATGTTTGACTTTTTTATTGGGATATGTCGTAGAAGGAAAAGTATTTTATCAAAGAGTAAGCATTTGAAAACCCTTATTACTTAATGCCCCATTTCATGCTGGAGAGGCTGTACCTGTTTGCTCTCCATGGGCAATAAAGGGAAAGCTGATGACCAAACCGTTTTCTTTACTCGCTTTATTTTAATTTTGTAGACTTTTAAAATAAGAGACATTTTAAGTGTATGAAGCATGAAAAAGTATTTGGGGAAGAGATGAAAATATTTAAGTAGCCACAGGGGAAAGCTGACAGGAAGTACTACAGGTAGAGGAAGGCTTCGGGGACTGTCTCCACGTGTGACAGGTGACAGCTTGGAGCAGAGGGATGAACTGCATGGCCAACTCTGAGACTTCTAAGGATTACATGATTCCCAAGATGCTCTCCAGCCCACACATTCCCTAATTGTCTGCTAGATAGCTAGGAAAACAGAAGGGACAGAGTCCTTAGTGATTTACCCGCCTCATCCAACGACAGGGGATTTTGAACAGTGTCCATTCTGAACTCCCTTTCCTTCCTGAAACAAACCACCCAGCTCGTCCTCATCCTCCCCACTCATCTCCTCAAGAGTCAAGTCCCCATCAGAAATGAGGCTGCACCTTCTGGGGCTCATGAAGGCAGGAAGCGTGGCTGGCCGCGAGCATGTGAGGAGCATTCACAGCTTCTCTGCTTCCTCAAAAGCAGTGAGGACACTGTAAGGACGGGACCCGGGGTGCTGCGTGTGTTTTCCATCAGGGAAGCGCTGCCCTGAATGTGCAGACATTAGTTGCCAGGGGAGAGGACAGCAAATGAGACAAAGAACAACCAATAATTTTAATAAGCTTATGTCATAAGGTCTTTATTGCATCAACTCACTCCCGGTCTCCTGCAGGTGCCCTTAATTTGAACCCCTTGAAGTTTCTGGTTTTTGACTGGAACTGGAGAGATCAGAAGTTGAGGAGAATGATGGACATTCCCGAGGTACCGTGTGACCAGCAAATTGCCTTTCATCATTTTTTTTTTTCAATTTAAACTTGAGTTCAAACACAGTAATAAAGTCTTTGACTTTGGGAGCCAGCACATATTAGCTTTTAAAGTGATTTCTATCTATTAACTCTGAGGTAACACCATTATGGACACCACCTCCTCCTTTTACACATAACTATATCCTTTCCTTATGTTTTATAGGAATCAGCTTTGTTGCTCATTAAATGACCAATGACCTCTTCCCTCTGGGGACCAGATCTATACTTGACCTTTGAGAAACAGGAAGATCTTACAGACTTGATACATTTCCAGTGCCTTCCTTTATGAACACAGTCGTTTTTTGCCTTTCAGCTTTATCTGTGCTCTTTTGGCTGGGGTTGCCTCACTGCCAGCATCGCCACATTCCCCAAAGCCCACTAACTGAATTCAGAAAGATATTTTGGTTTTATGCGGTAGGGAAATTTTTTAGTGTCTCAGAGGATTAGAATTGAATGATTAAATGCCTTATGGGCACAACATTAGCTCATTGTATATTTATGAAAGCAATCCATTATCTTCATAATGTGAAAAATTGATTTTACCACCCACCATGTTACCATGGGGGTAATTTGTCAATCTGTCCTGGTGCTTCATAGTAGCTGTTAGGGGGAAGTGTTGCCAGTCACCAAATAGGAATAAATCATGGCAGTAACTATCAAAGAGGCTTGGAATTGCTTCTCCAAACATGCTGAATAAATCCACTTACCATATAAAGCTATATACCCCAAATGACCCAACCAGATTATAATTGACCAGTGAGTTAAAAGATAATTTGCTCAGTTCCCTAAACACACATACACACACTCACCCACATAGTCATGCGTTCTATCCCCTGAATAGACAGTTTTTAAAAATCTGGTTTAACACTCACTTCTCAGCCTTTTGCCTAAGATCAATGTAAAAACTGGTTTAACTCAATGAATCCTGAACAATTAAAAAAGAACTGGTTTAACAAATTTGATGTCAGGATACGAGGCCATATTTGATGATTTCAGTTATAATATGTTAAATCCAACTAATCTACTAGTTTCCTAATTATAATAATGAGAAATACTGTCCAAAAAAACTTGTCACCCATAGTTATTTTTACTTTGTTGTCATTATTAGCAGTTATCCTAAGGCAATATAATTCTATATGGAAATATTGTATATAATCTGAGTTCTAGAAAGCACACTTTAAAGTCATTTAAAATAAATAAATTTGCATGGCATTTTATTTTGAATGGCTGCAAAAGGTGAGGGGTGGACTTCTTTTATTTTTTGTTTTAAGACAGAGCCTCAAGCTGTCGCCCTGGGTAGAGTACTATGGCATTACAGCTCACAGTAGCTCCTGGGCTTAAGCAATTCTCTTGCCTCAGCTTCCCAAGTAGCTGGGACTACAGGTACCCACCACAACGCCCAGCTATTTTTGGTTGTAGTTGTCATTATTTTTTGGCAGACCCGGGCCGGATTCGAACCCACCAGCTCTGGTATATGTGGCTGGCACCTTAGCTGCTTGAGCTATAGGCGCCAAGCCAGGGTGGGGGAGGCATCTTAGTGACAGCGATATTTTATGAAATGTCTCTTCCTTCATTTATCTAAGTATTTCAGCTCTGAATCAAATGTGGGTTAGGACCTTTGCCTTTTCTGATTCTGGCCTTATGACTATGTAAATACCAGGAAGTCCAGACGGTTAAATTTATTTACTAAGACCATCTTTGCTTGATCTTAACCTTTTTTCTTCTCTTTTCTCTCAATTAGATAAGAAAGGAGGTGTTTGAACTTCTGGAAATGGGAGTACTCAGTCAGTGCAAATCAGAATCTTTGAAGCTGGGCCTATTCTAAGTCCTACTGAAGATTCCAATTTCACAGGAGAATTTGCAGCAAATTTAGTGACTCGGACACACTGCAAGCACTCGGTAAATGTCAGTTTTTAGCTTATTATGTTAACTTCATCAGCAAACGCACCACTGAAATGTTTGATAGAAATTCTTTAACAGAAGTGAATCTGTCCCTTTGCCAACACCCTGTATAATAAAGCATCACTGGCTTCTGTGTAATCTTTGTTGAGCAAAGTGAGTTCTTCTCTTACCAACTGGCCTTTCATATGACTGGGCAAGAGAGGGGAAAGAGCAGCTGGGTGGCCTTCGCCAGGCCCCTTAACCTCTATGAGCTTCCGTCTCACCAGCTATGAAATGGGAATATCTCACAGGATTGTCAAGGATCCCATGAGATAGATGGTACACGAGCAGACTTGTAAACTGTGAAGCCTGGTCCGAGGAGGAAGGGGGCAGGGGTAGCGGTGGAAAGAGCTGCAGGTGTATGTGGCACTTTGTAAGCACATGAAAGACAACAGGATAACTACCGTAGTCTTACTCAGTTGCTTTCTCTCAACATTTTATTTGGAAATGATTTCAGACTTTCAGAAAAGTTGAAAAAATAGTATAGAAAATTCCTGTATTTCCTTCCCCCTGCATCACCAGTGTTAACATCTTGTGTACCCGTAATACAGTTATCAACTCTGATAGATCAATGCTGGTCCCATACAGTTAACGACAGATGGACGGTATTCAGTTTCACCAGCTTTTCCAGAGATGTCTTTGTCTATTCCAGGATCCCACATTACACTTAGTTGTCATGTCTCTGGTTTCCTTAGAATGGTGACAACTCCTCAGTCTCTCCCTGTCTTTCACAACCTTCACACCTTTGAGGAGTATTCATCAGGCATTTTGTAGAATGTCCCTCCATTTGCATTTGTCTGTAGTTTTCTCATTTGACTGAGTTATGCATTTTTGTCTAGAATACCACAGAAGTGTTACGTCTTTCTGGTTGCATCATATCAGGAGGTACACAATATAGATTTGTCTTATTACTGGTGATGTCACCCTTAATCACCTGGGTAAGGTTGTATCTGCCAATTTTCTCCACTGTACAGTTACTGTGTTTCTCTTTGTAATTCATTTCTATCTTGGGGGAGATGCCTTGAAGCTATGTAAATATCTGTTTTTCTTCAAACTTTTGCCCACTAATTTTAGCAACCATTGGTAGCTCTTGCCTGCAACAGTTATTACTGTATTAATTTTTCTATTTTTCTCATTCCTTCAATAATTACTATATTGAGTTGGTTGTGTTTAATCATTGAAATAGTCCTCAAGGAACAATACACAATGAGACTGAATCTCAGGAGGGGACACATGTTAGTTTAAGTAGCAAAACAAGAAGTCACACCCTGGTCTCCCATATGTCATTTCAGGACTCTAAGGTGTCTGTTTGGAGCCTCAGGCCTAAAGCAAACAGATGCCATTATTGATATACATAGATAAAATTCCATATTTGAATTTTGTGAAATTTTAAATGACTCTGGCAGGCTAGCAAATTAAAATCCAGCAAACCACACACTCTTACACACCAGAGACGTGGTGCTCCTGGGCTACACGGACTGAAAGTCATACACATGGACTTGCAGAGAAAAGAGGCATAGGCTCCATCCCTTTTGTTGAGCTAGAGCCCAACAAGTTAAGGGAAAAAGGAAAAAAAGCCCCTACAAAATGAAAATTCATTCAAGCTATAGTTAAAATCCCTATTATTTTCATCCCTTTAACTCTAACAAGTGAGATGTTCTTGGCCGGTGGTAAGAATGAAAATGGATCACATATTTTCCCAATACAGGCATTAACTTCTTGTCAAGTGGCACGTCTTAAATTTAGCCTGGGACATCAAACTTGATTGTACAAGAGGACAGATTTGCTAATTAAGATATAGTAGTCTGTGCTGTGAGAAGTAGGACCAGTCCACCAAGCTGCTATTGACTTGCCAAAACCAAAAAATGAGACCATCATGACTGTGTGTGTGTGTGAGTATGCGTGTGGAGTGTACCCCACACAAACATAACCACTTCCTGATTCTGCACACGCATTCAGTGTATTTTCATTCCAACAGTTAACAGGAGAAAGACCACGAAACATAAAGCAACCCCAAATATACAAAATGTCTGGCAATGCCTGAGAAGGCTATCTACGCAGTGGTTAAAGACAAATGAAGGCAAGAACTTAAAAAAAAATCACTCTGAAATTTCTAATAATACCACAATGCAACAGCTGTTAACAAACTGTCATGTTGATATCAATCTAGAACAGTGGTTCCCAAACAGAGGCAGTAGAGGCCAGTGATGAGGCTGATGTCCTAGAATCCAGGACAGCCTTTAGAAGAAAGAAAGAAATACCTGACCCAAAATATCAGTAGTGCTAAGGTTGAGGAATCCCGTTCTAGAAATATTAAAAAACAAAGCATATATATTTACTCACACTTTCTTATGAAAGATGAAACACAGCTATAGCCCGGGATGAAGGAGAGAAATGGAGTGGGAAGGGAGGAGAGGGGGGAGGTTTGATAGAGGGAGGGTAAAAGGCAGGACCACACCTATGGAGCATATTGCAAGGATACAAGTCAAATCTGTCAAGTGTAGAACATAAATGTCTTATCACAATAATCAAGCAAATGAGGCGAGAGCTATGTTGATTGGTTTGATGTAAGCACATCAGATTGTATAAAAAAATCAACACATTGTTCTCCACATATGCATAAATGTATTCATGATCTATGTGTATATGACTTAATAAAAAAAAAGCATATGAAGTTTATTTGCACACTTAAAGTAGATTTATTTAGAAAAGACAAATAGGTAAGTACAAAAGTACCTGTATTGTCCAAAATGATAAAAATAAGTGAAGTACCTATGAAATGTATATCTGGCTATGTCTCAAGAATACTGCCCCAGAAATGTTTTCACTTACTACCTATGCTGGCTATTGGTTTGTTTTGTTTTTTTTTTTTGAGACCGAGTCTCACTTTGTCACCGTCTGTGGAGTGCTATGGCATCACAGCTCACAGCAACCTCAAACTCTTGGGGTTAAGTGATTCTCTTGGCTCAGGCTGGTTTGGAAACTGAGCTCAAGCAATCCACCCACTTCAGCCTCCCAGAGTGCTGGGAATACAGGCAGGAGCCACCTTGCCTGCCCTGTGATGGCTAATTTTAATAAGTCAACTTGACTGGCCACAGGATACCCAGATAGTTAGTCAGACATTATTCTGAGTGTTTCTGTGTGGGTGTTTTTGGATGAGATTAACATTTAAGTTGGGTGGCCTGAGTAAAGAAGATTGCCCCCATAATGTGAGTGGGCCTTACTCTGTCAGTTGAAGGCTAATTAGAATAAAAGGATGACCCTCCCCCTAGAGTCCTGTCCTAGAGAATTCTGCCTTCCAACTGAAGCATCAGCTCTTCCTGGTTCTATGGCAGCCTGCTGGCCTTCAGACTCAAACTGGGACAGCTTGACAGATTTTGGACTTCTCAGCCTCTATAATTGTGTAAGCCAATTCCTTATACATATATATACACATATAAGCGTGCACACACACATAATCGTATAAATCTCTTGGTTCTATTTCTCTGGAGATCCCCGACCTGTGAAGCTCCTTTTAGCTTGGGATTTTGGTTAGTTTGATTTTGTTATTTTATAAAAAGCCTAAGAAATACTGTTCTTATTGGCTCATTATTATAATGATCCCTTTTATTGGTATTATCTGTGTAGTACAATCCCACCCAATGTTGGAACAAATGTCACAATCACAAACATACCTGATATTTTGTAGGCCAAACCTGCACATATAATCTAATCTCATGTCCTGTTATTCGCTTTTAAGCCGAGTGTTTGACCATGTTTATTTGGTAAAACAAACAGTAGATGTTAACGGGAAGTGTTTGCTACCATCTTCTCACGCTAGGTCATCTGATAGCAGCAGCTGTACTAGTCACCACCTCCAAGTCAGAATCCAATAGCATGCTGAAAATGGCCCATTCATGTTTTACTTTCTTTCCAGTTTTGCAAGCGAGAAGCTTTGAATTGAGACCCTCTCAGTATAAGCATTTGCATTTGTTTTGAATTCTTCTAAACTGGGTACATTTGCTAAAGTCATTGCCACCTTTGATACAAAAACAGTCCACCATGGCTTCTCTTCCTAATGTTAATAAAATCTCACATGCTTCCACACTTTAAAAATTCTAATTCTGCACCCTACATGCCAGTTTTTAAGTAACAGCATAAAAAAAAAATGTTAGTGGACTTCTAACAAGTGAAAAAACTCAAAACCAGGCCTAATACCATATTGCAGTGTTGAACATCTAATTGATAACCTTCCTCTTCCTTTTTCTTGCCTCATTCGGGTTACTCCGAGGCATGCACTTGGGAGAGGTTAGGAGTTTTTGTTTTGTTTTGCAGTTTTTGGCAGGGGCTGGGTTTGAACCTGCCACCTCCAGCATATGCGGCCGGTACCCTACTCCTTTGAGCCACAGGTGCCGCCCCAGGAGGAGATGTTTTTTAATCTACATTTTCTACTAGGTTTTTTCTAACAGGTGAAAAAAAAATTGGAAGCTGCTGAGATCAGACATCTGTGTTGTGCAACTCCCTGCTTGCTTCTCCCTTGCTCATTACCACACACAGCAGAGTTAGCTGTAAGCTGAGAGCATTTCTCAACTTAGTTTATATTCATGTTAGGCAACAGCCACATTTGGAAAAAAAAAAAAAAATGACAGCCCTAACTTGTATTTTTTGTATTAGTCTCGAAGGATTTAGGCAGTTCCTAAAGATAAATCCATTTTCCCCTCTTCAGGAAGGGCTTGCCTTGAATTAGTCACCAAATCCCAGAAACAGCCCATGAGGACTGCTTCCTAGTGTCGCCAGATGTTGTTTTTTGCAGACCTTGCTGGGGACTATTCCTCCTAGGCATGACATTGAGCACCACAGGCTTTGTAACCATAAATAAAATATGCTGCTTAGCAATAACTGAGAGAAGAGAGCTGAGCTCCTGCTGAATATGAGGGCTGGTTGAGGAATAATTTCCAGGAAGCAGGAAGACTTTGCAACATCAAAGGAGGGTTCATGTAATTCTTCGTTTAACATTGATTACCATTATGCAGTATTACCATGAGTAGGGATGTTCTAAATGTCCCCCAAAGTATATTTGAGTTCCCTGCAGAACCAAAATGGAGAAGATACCCGAGCACCGCCCGTCCAGAATGCCAGACAACACTGCCCTGAAGCAGCAGGAGTTGCCTGCCCACCAGCTACACTTCTCAGCCAGGACAGTCCTCTCGATATTTTTTGCCACAGGAGTATTCTGCTTGGGCATGGGCATCATCCTCATAGTGTCTTCAAGGAGGGCCCAGGAAATAGAGGTTTGTTCTGTCTCACATTTTTAATGTAGCTTCTAAGACGTCTCAGCTTTGGCACTATAAGTTAGAGTGGTCAGTCTGAGATTGCAGCCTCTCAAAAAAGGAACTAGATGTGACTGGAACATCCCTCTTTCAGCTGGCAATGCAGGAATGGTGGCAGAGCCCAGGTGTGGTGGCTTATTCATTCCTACTTCCTCATAAGGACAGTCACACTGATCAGCTCAGAGCCATTTTCATGTACAAGGGGCTGGCAAAGTTAAATACTTTTAGGCTTGCAGAGGAGTGAGTAAATGGTAGAGACAGGAGAAAAAAAAAAATAGCAGAAGCCTGAGAAGGAGAGGCAAGTGGCTGCCAGATGCCCATGAATCAGTGACGAGCCAAAGATACAGGTTTTCAGTTTTGCCCACATTCAAGCATTATGTCTTTCCTGTTGCAAATGAACTCCATCTGAGATCTAGGAAAGGGAAAAGTCCAAGTCCTAGCATCTTAAAGATACTGAGCAAACCAAGTTCTGCACAGAGTGAGAAAAGCTGATGCTAAATGCATACCACTCAGACACAAGCCTTTTGCCACCTTGATTAAATGAGCTGTTAGAGGATCAGAATCCCACAAGCTGATCTGGAGAGAGCAGACAAAAGTTAATCTTAGGCGTGATCAGCCATGCCCACGTCCAGTCTAATGAATTAAGTACATTTCCTCCAAATGCCCTCCACTCTGAAAGTAACCATGGAAACCTCCCCACATGGTTACTGGCAATATTACGATGAAGGCCAAGTCTGTCAGCCTTGATTTAACATTTATGAATGTCTGAAGGTGCCTAAGAGTTTTGCTGGGCATACAGATGAGTGATGAGTGACAATTGATTCCTGCATTCACCAAGCTAATGGTAGAGGAGATAAAATAGTTTGTGGTAAGAGCAGAGAGCTCGGAAAGGCTGGCTGCTCACCATCCCCAGTCTCTTCTTTGCACAGTGGCTAGGAATGAATTAGGGTAGACTGTGTGGACTTCAAAGGGGAAAATGTCATTTCAGGTGCTACTCTACCTCCCAAGGCACTATTGCCTCCCCATTTATGTTTTCTGCTCCTAGCTCCTTATATCACTCCCCCCCAAAAAGTGCCACTAAATCCCTCTGAGTCCTCCAGTGTGATGTGTAAACCCCCCCAGGCCCCACCATGTGGCAGGTGCAAAATGGAGGAGGAAATGAAACTTGCCTTGCAGAAGAGGCTAGCAAAGTAATGGGCTTACAAGGTTGAGTTTATGTCCACAAATAGCTTATCCAACATACTTTTCTTCACCAACCCCTCTCTTTCTGGTTCTTCACCCCTTCCTGTGTGTTATCCTTGCATCCTCCCTACCAGCCACCCACCTCATGCATTGTGGAAGTACAGCCTTTATGGAGAGGTAGCCACGTGGTGTGAGGCTACCCTCAGGCATGAGAGGGCGACCTCAGTCCCAGCTATTGGCTAAGGCTACTCTGCAAATGCCCATTGACAGAATGCTTCTACAATTATTTTCTAATACTTTACTTTTATGTGAGACAACTAGAAACCAACTAGAGAAAATAGTTTACTTTGCACATGGAAGTGTTTTATTATATTGGATGAGAAGACAAAAATGCTCACTCCCGGTCAGTGTGATCAAGCACAGACCTACTGGAAATGAGTTCTCAGTTAGTCTGTCCTCTTCTCACTCCACCCCAGGGCACAAGGAAGTGCCCTCTCCGCAGTTCACTTTAAAAAGGAGTGAAATTCCTGCCTTTCCAAAAATCTGTGAGGCATAGACCACGATCCTTGCTTCATTTCATAGCCATAGATGTACAAGTCCACTTGAGCAGCAAATGGAGGGTGATGTTATTAAGCAGATAGTACAGCAGGGATATGTTTTCCTCATCAAAATTTTTAGAGCTAGAAAGGAACCTAGAAATCACCTACTCAAAATTTATTAGAAAACATTTTTTCTAATTCTACATTGGCAAATTAGACTCACAACGAGAATTCCTGATGGAGAGTTTATACTACTATGACGACCTCGCAGATCAATTAATTGCCGATGAACCAAATGTGGGCTCTGGGGGTCAGTATGGAGTCAGGGTCAGAGACTGGCTGAACTAGAACCCCAGTTTTCTCTGTCACAGTTCAGTGTGCCCCTTCTCCATTAGGGCACAGCCATGTTCTTTAATCCTTTCCTTTATACACTGAAAGGCAATCTACAAAAAGAAAAGGCATAAATATTTTCAAAGTAATAGTCCAAGCTTTGGACTAAAGAATGATTTCACTAAATGTAAGCATCTAACTACAATGACATGCATCCTTTTTACTAATCTTTAATTTACTTTCCCCACTTTACCTTTGGGCTTCAGAACCCTCAATGGCTTTTCAAGAATCTAAAATTCCTTCTGTCTTGTCTGTCTTCACTCCCAGGGAACCCTAAATCCCACTGGCACCTTACCAAGGAGAGTGCTGCTCTCTTGTTTCCCTGCTCCTCAGCACTCCCATAATCTTGCGATTACTTCTCAACACAGTGACCAGAAGAAGAAGTGGCCCACGACATCCAACATCCGTCCTCCCACCCCAGAGGAGCATTTTGGTAGAAAAGGGAGCTACCAGCCCTAAGCCTGCCTCCCCAGCTCTCCACAGAATAGAGTACTCCCCCAGATCTCATAAAAGCACCCATTTAGGACAAACTACCCTCTTTTAAAAGAGTCCATCGTATCATTTTCCACACAATTTAACCATTAAAAAACAATGCAACAACATTTTAAAACTAGAATTATCCCACTTAATATCAATAAAACATTTTGGAAACACTTCTTTTTCTGTGTTTGGTGATTTTTAGTAACTTCCTCTGGATGCCATGGAGAATAATTCATTAGTGTAAATATTTTCCACACAATACCATGGAAAAACAGTGAAGTCCTTTCCCCATAAAATTGATTAGACTCAGGCCATAAGCCCAGTTCTGCTGAGTCATTGACTCATACCTTCCTGGTGACACCTCTTTAGGATCAAGGGACAAGGCTTCATCACAAGTTAAAAAAGTATAGGAGAGAATCACTGAACTTGGCCTGTGGCATGGTGCTGCCAGCTCCCCAAATAAAGTCTGTAAGAAGGCCCACAAACAACCTGCCTCTTCATGTCCCAGACGTCACACTCCCAACCCAGACAGGCTAAAGACTTTGGTGGACTCTGGGTTTGAATTTTATAGTATGTACTCATGTAACATAACTTTTTAATTGATAATTGCTTTTTTCCCTGCCTGACAGATTAATTACACAAAAATATGTGCAAATTGTGCAAAAATGCGGGAAAATGCCTTTAATTTTGACAAAGAATGTACCTGTTCTATTCCCTTTCGCCTTACCAAGAATATGAAGGTAAGTGAAGTTCAGGGGACTTCAATTGGCTTTATGCTGAGCTACTCCTATGTAACACTCAGCAGTAAATTCACAATTTCCATTAAACGCTTCCCCAAGCTGAAACTATGATAAATAAAGCAAGGTGAGGGTGGTGAATCCTACAAATTGTTGAGTTCCAATCCCCCCTCTTCCCTTCTGTGAGGTATTATTCTTCTCCTTTGTTTCTTCAAAGCTGCAAGATTCTTTATCTATGCAACTTTGTAATGTAAATCTTATCATCAGTCAAGCAGGTTTTACCCCAAATGTCAGCATAGGAAAGGACTGTAGAGATCATTGAATTTAACCGCTTAGTTTATAGGAGAAAATTAATGGGCTGAGAGGTTAAGTGATTTGGCCAAAGTCACACAGGGAGTCAGTATCAGGGGTCACACACCTGGTGGGACCCGTCCTGGACTCCCTCCAAGTCATTCTACATATGCAGTTGCCTAAACCCTAAGGACACTTTGAGAAATGCCAAAGAAAGATTAAGTGAAGTCCCTATTCTCAGGCTGATTAAAGTCTCATGTTAGTCAAGTCTTCTGAGAAGCAGATGCCAAGACTTGGGTTTCCCCTATAAAATTTGCTGGAGGAAACCTGTGAAGGAAAATGGGGAGGGAGCAGGAGGAGGCCGAGAGAGCTGTCAGACCACAGAACAGCTCTGACCCTAGGGAAGAGGGTTGGGATGGAAGGGCAGGAGGGGAGAAGCAAGGAGTATTTTGCAGGAGATGGTGATGAGTCTGGTTGGGACCAGATGCAGCCAAGGTGGAAGCAGGGCATTGAGGTAGGATGCTGGCTGGGGGTGGGCGGGGGAAAGCCTGCCTGTGCCTAGATTCACCCCACTCAGAGTCATTTAAGAAGGGGAAGGAAGGGTACTAGGCCAGTATGGGAGGCACGGCTGGGGTACAGGTGCGGAGTGCAGAGGACAGAATAGGACCCTGAAGTACATTTGAGGTGTTGAAAGAAATACATTTTTCATTTGATTAAGCCATGAAAAGGCTCCACTTAAAATCTACCTCAGGGTGCCTTATTGAGGGATGGTCCCAACTGCTGCACCAAATCACCCTGGGTTGCATCAAGGCCATGCTTCCCACACCCACCCCTAGTGGCTGGGCACAGCAGGGATGCTCCTTTCCTGGGAGAGGGGACCCCTCTGATGGGTGTCTTGGGAGACTTCCCAACAGCCTCGCTGACACTTTAAGAAAGCATTGCACTCTGAGACCTTCCTTTCTCCTTCTCCACCTTCCCTCTCTCTCCCTATCCTCCTGTCCTACCTTCATTTCATCTTTCCTTCCTCCTTCCCTCCTCCATTCTTGAGGGCTCAGAATGCCTAAATTTTTGAAGAAAAAAAAATCAAAATAATCAGACTCTAAAGGGCATAATTGTCACCTGTCCTTGTCCTTCAAAAACCTAACTGCAAATGAAGTGTTACCAGTTGCTAACCATTCCTTTCAGGCCGAGGCTTCTCATAAAAACCCAACCAAACCACATAGGGCAATCACAGGGCCTTCAGCTCTCCAGTTAACACATATTACACACCGGTGGACCTAGGCAATGGATCCACATGAGACTGTCTTAAAGGAATCTGCACAGAGTGCCACTGAATTTAAAAAGAAGAAAGGCCGTAACACTAATTGTGTTTCCAGGAGTAATCAAAGAGATGATGATCTTGGAGGCCTTGCTAAGCTAGATCTTGGACAAAGAATCATTTAAGAAAGGTTATTCAGGGCAGCACCTGTGGCTCAAGGAGTAGGATGCCGGCCCCATATGCCGGAGGTGGTGGGTTCAAACCCAGCCCCGGCCAAAAACCGCAAAAAAAATAAAATAAAATAAAATAAATACTTTCTGAGATAGTTTACTTAAAAAAAAAAAAAAAGGTTATTCAAACACCTCTGTCCCTAGTGTGGGAAGTGTTCTCTTCTTATTTATTTTGTCATCTGTGTGAACTCTAGTTAAGTAGAATTTTCTTTTTAGCTTCCAAGAAAAGGTATGGTAAATTCCATTCTGCAGACTTCATATTTTCTGCAGTCATGGGTCAAGGATAGAGGTTCCCTTCTTGAGAGAGGAAGTGTGATGGGTCTATCCCGCTTAGCCTGGCCTGTTGGCCTTCACACCAATGCTCTTTGTAGCTTCTGCTGCAGCCCGCCTCTTTGTCATGGGCCCACCATCTTCCTTTTTCAGTGTCCGGAACTTATTCTCCTCCAGATGACTAAGCTCGCCAGCCTCCCTGTTTTCTATGACTAGCCACACTTGCCATGACTTCTCTGCCCAGCTTATTGTGGATACCAGCTCCCATGTACCACACTCATCCTCTTTAAGGTCCTGGAAGTGCTATCAGTAAAATGTACAGATATGGTTGGTTAAATCTATATGGAAATTCCATAAGTGCTCTTAGTAAAATCTGTATTAAGTCTGCTTGGAGAATCTCCAGGACCTTTGTATGTCACCAAAAATGTAAGACCCTGATGTTAGCCTTTCGGAACTGGGGAGCATCGTGTGGCAACATACGTGAAAGGCTTCTCTCACGGCAAGAAGGCTGCTTATTGCTAGGGTGAAGATCACCTTCTTTCTTTTGGGTTAGTGAATCACTCTATCTTTTTTGCCCATAATAAATGGTTCACTATTTCTTTTTCTTTTTTTTTTTTTTTTTTTTTAGGTTTTGGGTGTTTTTTTTTTTTTTATTAAATCATAGCTGTGTACATTAATGCAGTCATGGGGTACAGTGTGCTGGTTTTATATACAATTTGGCATATTTTCACCAAACTGGTTAACATAGCCTTCATGGCAAATATTATATGCCAGGTACTGTGTTAGATCCTGGGAATAAAGAAATAAAAATTTTTGGAATCTGACTGCATAGAGCTTGTAGTCCAGTGCCATGAGAGGATCTTAGGTGTGCCTCAAAAATTTTGAAAGATCATTAATTAAATTATTTTTGAAAGCAGTTCAAAGCACATTAAGTATATTCTATTTTTTACTCTCTTTTATCAGCATAATTTAAGTGTGCTGTGGAAGTTTAACTAAAAGTTCAAGAGTCCCATAAGATAAAAAGTTCAAAAACACTATTCTAGTCATACCCTTCGTATGCCCAGTATGCAAACGCACCTGAATATGCTCAAGGGCTCCAATTTCAAATTATACCTCATAGATTTGCTTTGAAATCATGTGACTTTTGATACCACAATCCCTCAGCAGGGCATTTTTCCTGGTGTTTCTGGGAAATGACAATATTAAAAAACCAAATTTTATGTATTGGAAATAGAAACCCTGGTTATAAAAATTTTTCAAGACAAGAACACAGTAGCACATAATAAAAACATTGAAATTAGGTTAACTAAATAAATAGTTATTTCATAT